CTTGGGACAGACAGGTTTATAACTAGGAATATGGGACTTTGAACCTCAACTGTTAGCAAGAACTCATACTGAAAGATATGAATTTTGTGGCTAAGCATGGGAACCAAACAGGAGGAATTCCAGGGAGCTAACCTAGTATGGCGTCCAAGGACAGCCTATAGAGAGAAGAAGAACATGAAAGCTATATATCAGAAAAACTAAATTAGACCTAATTAAGTATCTATGAGGACTTAAAAGCCTCTAAAATCAACGTAGAAAAAAAATGGTAAAAAGAACTGCTTTCTGGGTACTACTGTAACTTAGCATGGAGTCATCATATCTCCTCCACTGAAGTTATATGGCATATCCTGTGGCATATGACATCTCAGATATTTTCTCAAAGCTTCTCAATTTTTTGGACGCTTGGGTAGCACAGGAAACATGGCATCATCATTGCTATTGCCAGCTCTCATATGAGCTTTAAAACAGCAGACTTTGTCATGCCTTGTCTTGGCCTGAGCTAACTTGAACAAAGTTGTCCAAGCACCAGATGAAAAACATCCAATCTGTTTTGAGCTGAAGCTTGGCTTTATGCAGTTGTGTTTTTTACAAAATTTATATGACAAATGGCACAGACCTAACAAAATTAAGTGACCTTTGCATAAAGAAACATCTGTGGACTGACACCAAGGAAGTGCTGGAAACAGTGTTTGACAGTGCATAAAAGTGACAAGCTGACTCAAGAACAAGGAACATCTACCATCAAAGTCCAACTCAGGCTCTGTTAAAACTGCGTCTAACACCTGGAATGATTCATTTTCTGCCATGGTAGCACGTCTCTTAGATCCCAGGTTTGTTGGTCTGATTAGATCTCCTACAGAGAGACAGATTGCAAGAGGGTACATTGCTGAAAACGCTCAACAAGACAGAGAAATCAAATGCAGCCCTCTTCTTCAACATAAGCTTCTCCAGGAAGAGGAAACCCTGCCACTACTCACTCCACAGCCTGATATCAGCAGGTTCTGCACATTTCTGAATTCAGATCTGCTGCTCCTCCTTGGGTTTGGGAAAGCAGAGTAGATTTGCACCGGGATGGCTGGTACCTCTTGAGACCTGTCAGTAGGTGACTCTTGAGTACAGCCATTCAAGTATGGCCTCTCCAAAGGCATAAACAAGTCCCCAAAAACCCACGCTAAACTGTCATAAATCTCTACGTACAATATAATAAACATAATAGTGTCCTGCAATGCATGGGACTTCAACTAAACTCCATGAGAACATGAGTGATGTCCTAGGACTTCCGTGATGCTCCTGTTAAGAAACTAACTAAAAGACCTTTCATTTTCTCTTCCTCAACAACCATAACACTGACCAGAAGCTATTACTATGGAACTGAACTAACCTCGTTCCCAGCCTTTTGGCACAAGCCCCTGCGAAGGTCCAAATAGATACGTCCCTTCCACTGACATCTTCTCTGATGGAAAGATGGAGCTGGAGAGATGTGAAATTTGGTACAGGCTCTTGATAACCCAAATGGATGAAGCACATTTCAAAATTCACGCTGTCACTGACTGGCTGCAGCGTTTGCTGCACACATGTTATATCTGCAATATAAAATCAGTGCACCCACGTTTGGAGGGGATGGTGGAAGAGGGGTTTGGCTTGCACGGGAGATGGGACAGACAGGGCTCTTGATTTTCCATCGTAGAAAATGAACAGCTTTACCTTCGGGTTCTTCTAACCTGTCATCTTTAATCAGGCACACGCGGGGACACTTGTCAGCTCTGATAAAACCCTTGAAAATAATAAAAACAGGCACAAAAGGCGAAGCTGTTCCCCATCGCCTCCCCGCCATGTCCTTCGTGGACAACAAGGGGCTCTTATTTATTTTTGAAACGTGTCTGGATGATTCAGCTAGCCAGACTTGTCAAAGCTTGTCAAAGGCAAGGAAAAAAGGAGGTATGGATTTACCCAGAAGAAACACTCCTTCCTGTTATTGACAGCTACAAAACACTCGTCAGCACCCGCAAGGGTCCTGTCAGCCAAGACTGTAAGACTCAAGAAACAGTATTGAAATACAGGTGGTTACTTATTTAAGGGGTTTGATTAATTTAAGGGTTTCTAATAATTTCTCTAAAATCAAACATTTCATTTCAAAGAGCTAAGAATCAACGTGTCTCATTTCCTAGAATTATTTGGGCCACGAGACGGTCTGACTTTTGTCTCTTCAATACTAATGTCTTGCCTTTTCACAGCTAAATTTGCACATGCTTTCCTTAGCACACTGGGTATCATTTAACACAACTTAACTACACTAAAGCATAAGTAACAAACTAATTGAATTTGCACATTCCTCCTGCTTCTAAAGCGGTATATTCTGTATATCATCTAACAATAATTTTATAGTACCCAACTACAAGATATTGCAGTGTCATTTAAGAACACACTAGTTATTAGAGCTGCCCAAATACTAATAAAAAGGTATATCAGGGATGCCCGAATACTAATAAAAAGGTGTATCAGGGATGCCCAAATACTAATAAAAAGGTGTATCAGGGAGGTACAGTTTCTTAGTTATCGTCCTCCCTCCCAGGATAGGTGGAAATTTGAGCTCTAGCAGCCTGGAAGGAATTGGGGAAGAGCCTGTAGGTATCAACAGACAGTCATGGAAAACTCCGAGACTATTCCCATAGGGGAGGATGCTGCCTTTATTTTATTAAATAACAGAGCAATCACTCTTTTATCCCCATTAATATAGGTGAAAGGAAAAGCAAAAATGATGATATCAGTAAAGAAAAGGAACTACTTTGGGATAGTGGTGAGCATCCAAAAGAGCAGAATTCAATTGTTCAACCCAACTATTAACCCAGCCAAACATTTAACTGATCTTTTCTGCTCCCTCCCACAGCCCTTTTAATTGCAGCTTGATCCTAACGAAGTGTGACCGGGGGAGCAAATGTGACCGCGGGTATCGCTCTGGACTTGGCACCAGCTGCAGATTCTTTCAGTAATTTCTATATCCAATGCTGCCCGTGATTTGGAATTCAGAGAAATCCTGTGTATTCCTCATGGGTTTGTAACCGCAGTTAGTTTTTGTAGCGATTCTCTCAGGAATATACCCCTTCTCTTTCTAAAATACCACTATCCACTTCCCACCTCTGCTGTGGCTGGGTGAATCCAGCCATGGAGCATCTCAATTATCCCTGTGGGAATTACGGAGCTGCATCCCAAAGGGTGCAACCCGCCACGCTGCTCTGCGTGAATCCCAGGAAAAGAAAGCTTAGAAAACCGCCTGTAGGAGATTATCCTGTGCTTTCCTATGGGTGTTGCTTTTGGAAAGAGAGCAGCAAAATACGCAGCAGCAAAATATTTTTTTTTTTAAAAAAAAAAGACGTATTAATTGCAGATTTAAATGCAGTTTTACTCTGAGAACTAACCAAGGAAAAATTACACTTTCCTGTTAAGCGGGTTACCCTTTGACAGCAGCACATTCACAACCGCAAATAAGGGGATACATTTTATAGATTTAATAATTAAATAAATGTATAAATAGATAAATTGGGACTGATATGTGCCAGTCTGACTCCGCATAGTGTCACTGTGCTGAATTAAATTGTGTGTATTCCCCCAAACCAGCCCTGCTCTAAGGCAGCACCGATTTGCAGCAGACACAGAAATGTTCAGGACTGTGCATTAAAACTATGACAGCCTGGACTCCTGCAGAACATTATACTGTTTATCATTAGGTAACATCATGTTTTTTGGCTTGTTTTCTTTTTTTATAATTAAAGTTTTCACTTGCATCCAAACCCACCTCACTCTACACAGAAAGAAGCATCACAAAGTAGCTTCTTTCTCTTCAAGCTGATATTGATGTACCGAAGTATTGACTAAGATGTTGCAGATAGTTGGTGGGAAAATTATATTGTACTCCGATACCTTCATCTTGATGCAATGATTTTTTTTTATGAAACACCTTATTTGCACTGTCTACCTTTCAAGTCGGTAATGAAACTCAAGTTGGTGAAAATCTTTATTTAAAACACAGTACCTGTGTTTGATGGCAACAGGAGAAGAGAAAAAAAAACACAGCAGGAAAGTGAACAGGGAGCGAGAAAAGAAGTATTTTCACCCATTCTTAAATGAATATAAAGCATCTTATCAATAAAAGTAACAGTATCCCAACAGCCCTATCCGTTTACACCTGCCTGAAAAGTCCTTAAAGGTGATCACAGTGGTGACCCTATCATAGTGATCCTCTTCTACAACATATAGCATCCTAACCACTGCCTCCCTTCTGATAATAAATCAGCAGAAATTTATCATTTATGCTCTAGCAAGTTATTTTTTTACAATTTTACTTGCAAAGTAATTATCATCACTAATTCACTAAATGAGCAGCATAGCTTCCTTCCAAAAAAAAACCCTGCAGCTTATACGTTTGTTGTCAACATTGCTCTCGTTTTAAGACAGATTGGGGGGAAAACAAAATGTGCTCAGAAAATTCTCCAATGTATTGCAGGCATCACGCAATAAATGGAGGGCGTATGGTGCACGTAGCCTTTTTGCAAGGAAGGAGCTCAAAGAACATAACAAGTCTTAATATGCCCCCACAACACATGCTCTTGTGAAGACTCCTCCGAAGTCTGGCGTCACCACATCAGAAAGTCAACCTGGGTTTCGCAGATGAACTAAGGTGCTTTTTGACCATGTCTTTTAATCCCGAGGAGTCACAAACAACCACAAGGAACAAGGGGTGACAGGTAGCAAAGAATTTTTGGGTCAATAATAAATTGCATTGTTTGTTGGTCAGGTAGGCAAGAGATCATACCTGGGCCGACGGTGAGTTCTGAAGGAGACATCAGCAACAACCTCATCTAACGATGGCTTTTTACACGTGAAGACCAGTTTTAGGTCAACCTCCCCAAAATACAGGTGTGCACACATGAACCTATTTCATATGCTATGAAATAGGTTGCTTCCAATTATTTACATTTATAGAAATAAGGAGGAAGCCTTACCTGAGCAGAGGATGAAAGATGATCGTAATGTTCCTGGCTCCCGGTTTGCAAACGAACTTGGATCCGCCACCTTCAATTAAATTATCATCTGGTCCTCCTTGAAAAGAATATAAAACAAATCGTGTCATAAAACCTGAACGTGCATTGATTTTTACATAATAAGCGATAATTAAACATTATGGTCTGTCTGTAAATGCTTCATTCCTGGTGAAAGACCAGTAATTAACCTGAAGATAAAAACGTTTCTCCTCTTGTATTCAGAAGAAGCTTTTCTAATGTAGTAGGAATAATATAGTTAATATTTATATGATGCATTAGGTTCTTCTTTCCAGTTAGCAACAGAAAGACTAACAGAAAGACTAAGCAGATTAAGTGAAGACTCCCTAGGGCACAGAACCCAGTTTGGGTTGGGGAAGAGTTTTCTAGCTGCATTAAACACTATTCTGGTTGGTCCGAGGTTCAATTTACTATCTACAAGGTGTCAACAAAACACCCACCTCACCAACGTGAGATGTTCAGATATCACTGTAAGATTTGAACTTCATACTTCTTCTGAGCATCACCCCATCAACAGATGGGAACATCCAGCATGACGCTAAAATGACTTTAACAGCCCTCAATGAGCCCAAATCTGAGCTGCATAGCTCTCAACTTTCACAGGCACATGCTTAAATCAAGCTCAAAAGCCCAAGAATACAACCCAAGCTGAAGGACAAGGTCCTGTCGATGTGGACAATACTTATTTTTAAGTACACGATGCTTGGGAAGAGTTTTAAGAGTATTCATGGAAGTTTGCTTGGCAGAAGATACTTGCACCTCTAATGGACAATGCTACCCTTTGCTTCCTTGGAAGTCAGGTTCTTTTTAATTGTCATTAAGCCCACGTGTTATCCTTCCACAAGAAAGTGTCCTTGCAAAGACAGTCTGCTCACTTCAGCAAGTATCAGAAAAAAACAATCTGATTTAGAAATCAGGAGCAATTTGGCCAGTAACACGCCTGTGTATTTGGCCATGCCCCTAGACACAAAGTGCAGAGCATCTTCCCGACAGTACCTGCCAAATTAACCTGGCAATTAACCATATCAATGGCTTTTGAGGGGGTTAAAAATAAATACATGAACTTGGGCAAGAGCAGTGTCTAAGTCATTTTTGTTTGGCACGTGAACTCTCCACTAATGATTGATTAATAATAAATACAGGACCTAATCACATTATTACAATAGCTTTATAGTCAGGGGAGAGGCAAAGAACTTGCAAGCAAAACACTACCAAGAGATCAATTTTTTGACCCTGACAACTAAGTACTTTAAAATAAGGAGAACGCCTTGAGTTGGAAAAAGTGAAGAGATGATCAGAAGCAACGAGCGACTCCAATCTTTTTTCCAAAGTGAAGTATATGGCCTTTGGCAATGACCAATAAATAAAAAAAAGCTCTTGCATGACTTCATCTCCTTGATCCTTCTGTTTGCAAGCCCAGAACAAAGCCTAAGGATTGACATAGAACAAAGCCTAAGGACACTGAATCTTGCACATCTGATGCTGTCCCTCCAGATATTTCCATACAGACACATTGGAAATATATTTCAGATGCAGTTCCCCCCTATCACAAGACCTTTCTGCATGTCTGGATTCAGAAGATGGTTAGAGAGGAACGACCCATATGAGCCACGGATGCTTGTACCTACACTATCCACCACATGTACAATCAGGACATGGAACTATTTCACACTTTTTATAGCAATAAAAGGATTGTCTAAGTGCCAAGAAACATCTGGGAATGAGTTTCTAAATCTTTGTCAAATGTAATGAGAAAGAGGTCACCCTTAAAAAATAATAGAAATTTGGGGTTCAGTTCAAGTTTAAAATGTCACAGTGTGACAAAATTCAAAGGTGGGGGAAAAAAATTAAAGACAACTAGTAGGAAAAGAAAATTATTCATTTCCCCTATTAATGTCAGTCCAATTTCCAGTGAGGTCTGTCGCTGACTGACTTATTGAAGAATTCATCCAAGCATGAACCACTGAGCACGAACTGGGAAATACAGGCTCAAATTAAGGACAGGGTGTTATTCTTGTTATACCAAGTCACCCTGCACTAATCAATATTATTGACTGGGATGAACTCCGGAGCAAGGAATGAAACAATCTGTCTTGCCTTCTCGACCACATTATGCAAGATTTGGGAAGAGGACGACACCAGCGCTATGAGAAAAACATGCTTTTTGCATCTTTTCTGTGCTTCGCTTTCAATTAATAATAATAAATGCTCTGCACAAGGCTAGAAACTACAAGGAAAAGTAATTTTGTTTGCAGCAAAATATCTTACTTTGAAAAATAAACTTCTTTCCCAGTGATCCTCTGTGTATAGCAACACAACATGATAACAGTTGTTTCTAATATCAGCCGCTGTGATCTATTGTCTTTAGGTCTCTCGGGTCCTCAGCTAAGCTGCTCTTGCCTGACATTAAGAATAACGCGGTCAAGCATTGCTGTCATTGACCAAAACACTCAGAGCAGAAGTTTGCAATGATACCGAGAGGAGAAAAGCTCAGGCTGGAGCAAGAGAGACCTACAATGGCTTTGCTTGTATAGAAACTTGACAACCTTGAGTGAAGACCTTGCTTGACCTTGCAAAGGTCTCAAATGTGTATCTCTGTTGGCCAACCTCATATGCAGGTGATACCTGAGATCAAGTTCTGTGCTTGGAGACCCAACAGGCATCTCCAAAATCAACAAAAAAAGGATGAGCATCCTTATTGATTCTTATCAAGAGCTCTTCTGGTAAGGTGACATGATTATTCATCCAGTCTGCAAAGAAGGAACCCAATGACTCCCTCCCAGCTCCAGAGAAGCAGAGGTAGGAGATGAAGGAAGAGGGAAAACCCTCTCTCTTCCCTTTCCCCTCAGTTTGCAGAGTCTCTGGACCAAACAAGCAGACATCAAATTGCTGCAAGTGTTGTGTCAGCACCACGCCATGAAAGCCTCAAAAAGTGGACAGAAAACTATCTCCACCATGAGAAATGGGAGCTGTAGGGCCTAATTCTCAGTGAGTCCTGAGGACTTTAACTCAACTTCACTGCCATGACAGCTAACTATAAGCACTGGATCTATGACCATCCTTACATCCTCTCCCATCTCATGTACACCCATACCAATGTCCAACACTGCCACATACACAGCCCTCCTCCAAGGACCACTTGGATCGAGTGGACACTGTTGCTTCAGCACCACCACACAACACAACTGTCTTGTTCAGCTTGATTTTTTTTTTAATTAAAGGCAAAACTTGCAATAGCCACATTTCATACCACTAGAAAGGGGGGAAAAAAAAACCCCAGCCTACGTGTTTCATGGCTCTCACAAAGGACTATTGTTGTAGCAGCTCCTTCTCAGCAGCTCCAGCTTGCTGATTTAATCGGACTAGTCATAAATTATGAGACAAAAAAAAAAAAAAAAAGAAAAACTTGAGGTGAAGAGACATTTGTCATTGCTAATGATATCCTCGTGCTGTGCTAGCAGAGAAGGGCGCCCGCCTCGATGCCACTGTGAGTGGGAGTCAATGATGGGTCCATTAGCAACGTTTAGCACATTTCTGAAATAGAGCCTGAAATGTCACACTGTGGTATGAAAAAAACATAAGACTACCAAGAAAGTGAGAATCCATGCACGAATTTCAAACCTAAACTAACAGCAACAGTGCTTCTATGTTTCCATTCTGTCTACTCCTATCTAGGGAGAAACTTTCACCACCGTCTCCCACGTTCACTGCTACCACCCTGGTCTCTACACACGGAGAAGTGGATGGGTCAAGGTGGTTGGGTTCACCTAGGACTGGCAAGTTGTCCTGTGCCAGAGAAACACAAGGGACCTTCTGAACCCTGCAGGGAAGGGAAAGACAACAAACAGTGTCTTGTTCCATGCAGCAAAAGTCATAAAGAAGGAAGAAATATATTTCTATTAAACAAAGAGCAAAGGAAGAAGATGGTAAATCATATTACAAACTCTTTGACAACACTCTGAAATTTCCTCTTGATCAAGTCATTCCATTCCATGGGCAGATTATGTTGTGCTGACCCACTAAGCAAACACAAATATTAAAAGCCAATCTGAATCGAAAAGATTTTGTTATTCTTACATTTTTATTATTTTTTTTTCAAGTGTTCAGAAACTCTTTCTGCAATGATAGAACTCAAGTTCGAAGTTGTCCACGCTTATTTCCAGCGTATCTGTACTCAGATAATGGAAAACATACTGAAACACATTACAGAAATGCTAAAGATAAGCAGAGTCTGTGTGTTTTGCAAATACATATTTTGTATACAGACACAGTAACAAAGACAGGCTTTAAGTTATTTACCTCTCATCACACAAGTCTTCTCTTCTCATTTAAGGACAAATCCTTGGGCAACACTGCAAGCTGAAGGACAGCCCCCCTAGCCCGTAGCTCTGTAATTAAGCTTATATTAGTTGTCTCTCCTTATCAGGGCTGCCAAGCCCATAGAAAAAAGTATGATCCTCATTTGTAACAAAGACCATCATACTGAGACATATGCCCCAATTTCCTCATTTGTAGAGACAGCTTCTCTACCACTAAAATAAGAAAAACCCATTGGGTGGGAAAAGCATCCAAAGAAGTTAACACTATTCTTCTCTAGTTAGTTTTTTGTTGAAATAACTTTCCCTATAAACGCCTGAGATTGATATGGAAGTTCTTCTCTTCAATATCATATTTGAAGAGGAACTGCACGCTCCTCACTCCCATCCATTCCTTGAAGGATGTGAAGAAGTCAGCAAGGAGGCAGTTCAGCATCCTGTAGGAGGCTCTTTTAAAATCAGTCCATTTTAAACTCAATCTTCTCATAGTAAGCAGTAAAGTGTTTTTTTTTAATACAAGAACAAAGCAGCGAAAGCTCTCAGGCTAATAAGAGTACTTTAAAAACATGACATTTCTTATACTCATTTTGTTTTCTACAGTGTCACTGCAGAGCACAGTACCACGCTACCTACTTAACTGCTTCAGTGCTGTACCTGTCTTAAAGCATTTGAGCTTCAACCCTGACACACCTAAAATCCCAGCGGAAACAAAGATTTTTCCCTG